ATCGAAAAAATATCGAACCGTGACACCAAAGTATCGAACCGAACCGAACCGTGAATTTTGTGTATCGTTGGACCCCTAATGTTTATGTAACCCACATACAATGAGGGTACCACTTTAAGGACTGATATGAGGAGAGATGGACAGCCTGCACAACCAATCGAAATCCACAGGTCCCAGTATGTTTTGACCAATGGGAGAGCAGTCTGCCGCTGTATGTCCCACCTACGTGCTCTGTGTTTGCTGCTATGTGTGGAGGTAGTCGCGCGCTGGCAGGAGAAAAGAGAGACTGAAGCTTTTGAGCTGGAAAAAAGTATTAGATATAAGTTGCAACCAACTGTGTTGCACATAAGTTCACTGGTTATCAGCTACCTTTCATGTTAAAAGTAGCCACAGTGAGTAAATAGGCAAATGCTGCATTTTTCTGGTGACTTTAGAAAGTACCGCGTGGAGCTAAACTGTTAGCCTTTGTTAGCTCTGGTTGCTATCAACTGCCTGGAAGTTCATCTCAATCTGCTTCCAGAAGTAAGGTAACACTTGAAGCGCAACTTATGTTTATTTTTCCTTCATGTCGTATTACGGTTATTAAAGAGAAAACATGTCCTGTTACGTTATTTAGAGCCCTGCATTTTCCGACCGAGAGACACTATGCCATTGTCTTCGGCCGTGATGCGCTGAGATCGGTGAGCACATGTTGTATGTCTCAGTTAGTTCACGTCTGTTTCACATTTTATTGTTGAGAAACTGAATTAATCTCAATTGTTTGATTAATAATTGTCGCATATGCGACATATATGCATATGCACTGACTTTACTTGGTTTAATGCATAGTTTGTGTAAGAGAAATGTTTTATTTTTGCAAATTTGAGTATTTTTATTGCAAATTTATGTTGAATGTGATTTAAACAAAATCCTAAGTTGTGAATTATAGCTAGAACAGCATAATTAATATTTGAATTGCTCTTCTGACCCTGTCCGTTGACAGGTCAGGTTTTTTTTGTATGCTGAATTGTTCCTGAGGTGGATTCCTCCGGTGAAATAGATGGCGAGCCTTCCCACCTGGACTTAGAGAGACTGAGATTCGCTTCTTTTCCACTTGATGATCTGCTGCACCTTGCGGTGTGGTAGGACTGTATCACTCACACTTTCACCCACAGCTGGTTATACATAAGACCACTGACTGACATTCTCTCAACCCTATTTTCTTTCACACCCTGGGAATTTTTTGGACTTTACCCCTTGGACATTTTTTATTTGGGACTTTAAATAATGAGCTGTTGTGTAGAACATTCTCCACATGTGAAAAAAGTGTGAGATTTTCATTTGAATGTACATTGGATTTGTGTAATCTGTTCTATAAGAGTTTAAGGAGTCAGGTTACTAGGGTGCACCCGAGCATTGAAACCCGAACATTGAAAACCAAAAATAACACTTGGCCAAGTCATTGCTTTAGTAGTTTGTGTTTTACTTTTCTTTTAATTTTTGTAAGTTTCCTTTCTACCATTGTAAAGTGTCTTTAACCTGTGCTTGTCAACCTTATGGTTTATGTCACTAAAGTTGGCCGGTTCTTTTGAGTTACATTCTTGTCTCTGTGTCTCATTTGAACACACCCCTGTGCTCCTATAGTCGAGCCTATTGGTCCATTGATATATTCTTTTCAACAATTCCCCTTACTGTGTTACATTTACATTGCACATTACTTTTCTCAGTTTATATATACACAAGTTACATGTCTACTTTTTAATGCACAGGTACAATACGCAATCTACACTTTTCTAATTATTTTAAATATTCTTAACTATTTAATAATAATAATAATAATAATAATGGATTGGATTTATATAGCGCTTTTCAAGGCACCCAAAGCACTTTACAATACCACTATTCATTCACTCTCACATTCACACACTGGTGGAGGCAAGCTACAGTTGTAGCCACAGCTGCAGAAGCGAGGCTTCCATATCGCGCCATCGGCCCCTCTGGCCAACACCAGTAGGCAAGTAGGGTAAAGTGTCTTGCCCAAGGACACAACGACCAGGACAGAGAGCCCAGGGATCGAACCTTCCGGTTACAGATGCGATTCCCAACCCCCTGAGCCACAGTCGCCCAATAAGCATTTAAACATCTTTCAGTATCCTGCACTGTTTGCACACTACAACCTGGGTTTGCCACTTATCTATACTTTAATTTTAATAACTGTACAGTACTCTGCTTTGGTAACTATTGTCCATGATGTAAATATGTAAAAACTGTGTTTCTGTTCTGTGTCCTGTTCTGTTTGTATATGTGTGTTTTTGCTGCTGATACAACCACATTTCCCCTTGTAGGACAATTAAAGGATTATTCTAGTCTTCTATCCTATTCTATACTTTTGACCCTGTGTAAATTAGAGAGAATCCTAATACCTAATACCCTTTTCTGTATTATGAGTCCAGTCCAGTTTATTGTTCAAATAAACACCAAAATACCTGTAGCTATCCACAGCCTCAATGTCCATACCTTGAAAACTCCACCCTTTTCCGGCTGAGAACCATGGCTTTAGATTTGGAGGTGCTGATCCGCATTCCCGCCGCTTCAGATTCGGCTGCGAAGCATTCCATTGCGAGCTGGAGGCCAGCACCAGATGAAGTCAACAGAACCACATCATCCGCAAAAAGCAGAGATGAGATTCTGACACCACCTAAGTGAAAGCCTTCTGCCACTTGGCTGCGCCTAAAAATTATGTCCATAAAAATTATGAACAGAATCGGTGACAAACGGCAGCCCTGGCGGAGCCCAACACCCATTCGGGAATGAGTCCGACTATGTGGACCAAGCTCTTGCTACAGTTGTATAGGGACACCCCATACTCCCGCAGCACCTCAAACAGCACACCAAGGGACACGGTCAAATGGACCAAATAGCATATGGATCAATAGGGGCTCTATGTCCATGTCGCTCTTGGGCGTCACTCCCACAGGCCTTAATTCTGAGACTCTCCACCATCTAAGAACTGAAGACGCTTCTCGGATGAAATATCTTCAAGCAACTTAAAGAAGTCCAGACATTTTTCTTTCCAAGTTCCTTAGACATATAATATATAACTGTATATAATTTCTTGAGCAGTGTATTTAAGTCTGTATTAATACTTTTGATCCTGTGTAGATTACCTTCCTGATGTTGGCCAGTCCATTCATGACAAGACAGTCTTCTCGGTCTTCCTCATCATCCAGGTCCAGCAAGGGGGAGCTGTGTTGGTCCAGGAAGAAGCACTTGGAGCCCTCATTTCGTGGGTCAAAGGGATCCACAATAATGGGCTCTGTGCCTTTGATCTCACAGCGACAGAAAGGGCATCCTTGGCCATCTGATTCCTGAATAGATATAACAGGCTAGTCATACACAAACATACAAAAACACAGGTGGTGACATTTTAACCAAAAAATATAACTAAATGCCACATGTTGTTTCAGTAACATCATGAAATTATTGTGCATTCATTGTAAAAGACCCTGTCAAAAACATAAAAAATAGCAGTATTTCGAGCATCTATCTGACAAAGACAGAACAAAGCTATGCTTTTGGTAGCCATATAGTTGGGAACGTGACTGTGGACTTGTGGGAACTGATGTCCGTTAATTAAAAGCTTTACCTTTAGCCACATATGACACACATTTAAACTTTATTTTTGAGTGATTGTTTCATTCATAAGTCAACATTTCAGTAGCACACTGGGAGAATTCTGAGTCAAATGATTATTCTCTGTGGGCTTATTACCACACTACTATATCACTATTACCATTATCACAGAAAAAAAAAATGCAGGCCGGTTGCATACATTACTTATTGTTTTCTTTGAATAAATAAACCTGCAGATTTTTATCATCCTTAGCTCTTGGACAACTCTTCTAATAATTCTTTTCACTCCTCTGTCTTTCAGGGAGCACCTACTTGTGGCCAGTTTATGGTAAATGAGTGATCAGTTCTGCAACCAGTGCTATCAGTTTGTTTTGCAACAATAAGGTTACAAAGGTGTTGAGAGAACTCACTGGTTTTACCAGTCATGAGATGTTTGTTGTGTGACACCTTGGTAATGACAGACTTTAATAGGCCACCAGCTGGAACTGAACCAGCTCATTTTAATTTGAATTAAGTGGCAGGATTGCTTGGAAATTATTGACAGATTTCAGCTGGTGTCACTGCTTTCCATGCCTTTTACACCTCCCTTTCTTTATGTGTTCAATACTTCTTCCGTGTATAATTTCTCTATTACACATAACTTTTTTCATGGACATCTATGGTTTGATTTCTTTGCATCTGTAGGTTGGATGGGTTGCTACTGACATTTGGTGAGAATGTCACGTCAATACTGCCTTCAAAAATATATTTACTTTGAAACTTGGTGAAATGTTCAACACTTATTTTATTCAATGTTAATCTTTTTCTTTTATTTATTTACTTGTTTTCTTTTATTATTCTTATTATTATCTCTGTGGTTATACACTGCTGAAGGTGACAGGGATAGTAAAGAGAAGGAGTAGATAAAAAAAAAGGAAAAACTGCAAGACTTAAACAAATAGCTCCCTGTGTCCACCCCAACATCCCTAGAGAAGCTGATGATAACCACATCTTGCATGTGAGCTCTCGTCAATTTTTAGTTTGGAAGGACCAGCATGTCTTATTGATGGAGACATGCTGGCACACACTCCCTTTGTGACTCTAATTTATTGTGGGTGTTTTAACATTCCTGGATAAAGTTCTTTCTTTTTCTACAACTAAGGTTTATTTGGCAACTATATCTGCTTTTGATATTGGATATGATGAGGTGACTTAAGGTGTACCTTAAGTACGCTGTACTGGTGTAGAGTCAACAACCTGTCTCTGAATGTGGACAAAACAAAAGAGTTGAATATCAACTTCATGGGAGCACAGAGAGATCACTGTGCACTTAAAATCAATGGATCCTCTGTGGAGGTCGTCAAGAGCACAAAATTCCTTGGTGGTCACCTGGTGGAAAACCTCTCCTGGTCCCTCAACACCAGCTTCATAGTTAAGAAGGCCCAACAGCATCTTTACTTCCTGCGGAAGCTGAGAAAAGCCCATCTCCCATCACCCATTCTCACCTTTTACAGAGGGACTATTGAGAGCATCCTGAGCAGCTGCATCACTATCTGGTATGGTAGCTGCACCGTATTGGATTGCAATATCCTACATTGGCTAGTGAGAACAGCTGAGAAGATCACTGGAGCCTTTCTTCCCTCCATTACAAACACGTATCGCACCCACTGCATCTGCAAAGCTGCAGAGGACCCCACAAACCCCTCACACACACTCTTCACACTGCTGCCTTCTGGCAAGAGGTACCAGAGCATTCGGGCCCTCACTGCCACACTGTGAAGCAGTTTCTTCCTCCAAGCCATCAGACTCCTGAACACTCAGTAACTGGACCTTAATACATGTCACTACCTCAAGCATTTAACTGCACAATCTCATATACACAAACACACACACGCACACCTTCATACATCAAGCTACCTTTTGTACAATGCTCAGTCTTTTGCACAACCCACTGTCATTGTTGCACTTTTCTATTGCACTGTTGTGTCTGCACTGTCTTGTGTCTGCATTATTCTGTTCTGTCTGGTGTTGCACTGTTTTTTTGTTTGGTTTTTGGCAATTTTTGCACACTTGCAATTTATATAGTTCTGTGTTGATTGTCTGTATATGTCATATGTAGCACCATGGTCTTGGGGGAACGTTGTCTGGTTTCACTGTGTACTGTACCACTGCACATGGTTGAAATGACAATAAAGCCACTCGACTTGACTTGAGTACTGCTTCTCACTTTAGGGTCTGCAAAGTGAGTGGGTAGGCTTCATGCATTTTTTTGTGCATTCTTCTTACACACAGTTCTCTTCTGACAGCCTTAGGGTCGTATTATGTCCAAATATGTTAGGGTACCTGGATCGTTGTGTTTTGTTTTTTTTTCTTTGACTCTTGTTTATTCGTTGTTGTTGTCTCTGTGTGACTTTTTTCCTAGTTGACTTATCTGTATTTCTAGTTCAGGTTGTCTGGTTAGTTATTAGTTCCCTTTTCATGTCCTGGTCTCGTCTCTGTCCTGTTAGCCTTGGTCTTGCCTTTGTGTGTCCACCCCTGTTAGGTCAGTCTTGTCTTCATGTTTGTCTGCCTGTTTCCCTAGACATGTGTTCTTGTGTCCCTCTCGTCCCTTGTTCTTTCGCCCTCTCTCATCCCTTGCTCTCTCATCCTCACTGTCTTGCCTCCTTCCCCTGGGTTTCATCTGTCTGTGTCCAATTGTATGTGTTTCTTGTACTACCTCTTTTAGATTGACAGACAGATTACGCTCAGCTGTGTTCCCTCCTGTGAGTTGTTCCCTCGTTTGCCCTTGTCGCGATCGCCCTCATTCCTCACTGTGTTCTGCCTGTTAGTTAAGTTCCTGAACAGTTTTTGCAGTCCAGCAATAAAGCTGCCACTTGAGTTTGGTCTACATTTTGGGTTCTTCAAACCTGCGTGCCTCACACAGTGAATGACAGAATGCTGAGTTTTCCTAAAATTATTCCTGTGGCTTATAGCACTATATAGAATTTGAGCTTGTGAGCTCTTGCCTTTCTCTTTTCGCATTTGAGGAAAAAAGGAGGCTGGATTCTCTCTGTCTAAGTCCAGTTGCTTGTCTGCTTCGCTAACCAAGTCAGAGCTTTGTCTAAACAGAGGTTAACTCGCCGGATTATGGACGTTTTCCTTGGCATATGGCACTAAGGGTCTCTCTTTTCCTCAGGGCGTGAGAACACATTCCACTGGAGGAATGGGAACCTGAAGGGCCCTTTTTAAAGAAAACTTGCAATCAGCGTTACACGGACAGCTTATACACCAACTGGGTAGTGGTGGTTAGCACCAAGCTAGATTGACTCAACAGGTGTTCTTAGCAAGGTGAAGAGCGGAAGAACTGAGAGATGACAGGGGTGTATGTGTGCAGGCAGGTGACCAAAATGAGTGCAGGTAGACATATTATCACGGGTCTTTTGCCTTAGAGCAGTAAATAGATATTTTATCAGACATTTTATCAGTATCATGGAGTCTTTTCACTTTACCTAGCATGCATCAGCACACACACTGGACCTTGTATGTGTTAAATATTGATTCTGTTTCTTCTGTGGACATTTTGTGGCGTACTTGGAAAACTACACCAGACGGCAGAATATACGCATTGTGGGGATACCAGAGAATGCGGAGGGCCCACGACCAACGAAATTCATCACCAAACTACTCTTTGATGTGCTTGGGGAGAACAACTTCGAGAGGCCGCCATCGGTGGCTAGAGCCACGTCCGTTCATTGTCAGACTCCACCACTTCCAAACCACAGAGCTGATCCTACGCCTCGCCAGACAGAAGGGCCCGCTCCTATTCAATGGATCGAGATTCCACATATTTCCTGACTACAGCCCAGAAGTCAACAAAAGACAAAAGTCTTCTCCCAAGTCCAAAAGGAAGCTCCACAGTGCAAAGGTCAAGTTTGGTCTCTTCTACCCAGCCACTCTGCAGTTCACACACAACGGGAAATGCATGAGATTTACCGACCCTGCAGAGGCGCTGACCTACGTTAATAATTAATATCACTGTTGATAATGAACGCCCCGCCTCGCACCCTGCAGAGACTGGTGACTGAGGTAAGGTAACGATTGGGTTAATAACATTGAAAATCATTTCACAGAAGGTGGCATCATTAGACATGGCTACTCTGTCATATTTTGAATATTTCTTTACTCTCATTGTGTTCTATTATCATTGGTCATAGTAGCAATGAACGTTTTATATTTGATGGTGTAAATACACACCACACATAATGCCACTCATGAGCACCTTCCTTTTCTTCATTACTGATGTTATTGCCCTTTTTTTCTTTATTCTTTTCTCTTTTTCAAATTATGAAAGGGCGTTACAGTTTGTTTAATACCCTGTTGGAGAGGTTCATTAATGGTTCAAACATGTATCCTTTATTGCGGGCAGCATGCAAATGCAGTTTTGCAAAAGTTTCAAGTTTTTTTGGGGTGGTAGCCTTTTTAAGGCCTGTTTATGTGTTATGTGTTATGTGTTGTTTTGGTGTGGCATTTGCTCTGTATTCACTGTGTGCACCTACTGTGATTTTTTTATCGTTTAAATTGGGCAAACATCTATATTTTTGAATTACATAGTTCTGACAAAGAGTAGATTGGACCCTGACCCAGATAATGCTGACGTAAAAATTATAAGTTGGAATGTGAAGGGTATGAACCAGGCAATCAAGAGAAAAAGGGTCATTTCTCATTTACAACATCTTGGGGTTGGTATTGCCTTCCTACAGGAAACCCACCTCAGGAA